GGGGGGGGGGGGGGGGGGGGAAAGGAGGGACCCCGAAGGAAAGAGGGGGGGGAGGGGGAAAAAAAAGGAATGGGAGGTCAGGTGGGCGGGGGTGGAGTGGTCCCTATAGAAGCCAAAGAAATCCTTTCAGATCCAGGGAATTGGGGGGGAGAAAGAATGGGAAAAGGGAGGGAATCTCTATAGGGGAGGGTGCTGTGGGGGTGGGGGGCCTGACTCTATGCGGCCCCCCCTCCCCTCTCTCTTGCCTTCGGGTTCCTCCGTCTGCTCCCTCCCTCTCACTCACTCCAGTTGTCCCCAAATCCAAGATGGCGCCCAAGGCAGGAGCAAGACCGGAACCAAGGCAGAGAAAACGTCAAGCGCATGCGTAGAGGGAAGGGGGCGCCGAAGAAGAGCGCGCACGCGCGATGCGTCAGGGGCGGGAGCCAGTGAAAACTCGCATGCGCCACAGTCGGGATAAGCGATGAACATTGTCCCGAACTTAACTAGCCTGGTGCGTAAAACGCTTCGGAGGGGAACTGTGCGCATGCGTCCTTGCTAGGGTCATTCTTGAGAAAAAGGTGAGTAGCGCGAACTGAGGAGCTAGGAACGTGCCGTAAGCAATTGTAGGATGGCATTACTGAATGGAACACAACGCACGCGCAGTAAAAAGAGGGAAGGAACAAGGCCCGCCTTCATTGGGTTGTTGTAGAGGTGATGGGCGGGATACGCTTACCCTGACAATATGTAAAGTGAGGGGTGGGACCCTAAAATTTGCCTAAGAATGGGATTGGACGAAAAACATGGGGGAGGGCAAGTGCAAACAAAATCGACGTCTTGGTTGGCTGGGAAAAAAATAACGGCGCTTCAATGAAAGAAGTCAGATTGGGACGCCAACATGCCCTCAGGTGTGCTTTGATTGGGGCAATATGTGAGAGCGTGGGGTTTGATTGGTAGGCCGAAGGGGTTAGGGGCGGAGTTCCTATCGCTCAGCTGTTACTGGGGCAAGATTTAGAAAGATGTGGCGCGCGCGCGCGCGCAGAGAAGTGGGGACGAGGGGGAGCAATGACAGTTGTTCAAAGAGGGGAAATAAAGGGCGCGCTGAGCGACAGTTAAACTGTCACTGCAGGGGCTTGGGTGCATGCGCGCCCTCCAGTGGAGGGCGGAGCTCAAGCCTCCCGTCCCAGCGTTCCAGTTTCTTCTAGTCTTCTCAGCGCGCCCTTCCCCTCACCTCATGTGCAGCTCGTAACACCTTGACACCGGCGTGATTCAGGCCCGTGCCGGACGGGCTCCTTCCTCTTTTGTCAAAATGAGCGAGGTGAAGTTAGATCACTCGCTGTTTTAGGCGTAAGTATCAAATTCCAAATAGCGGACGAAAGGACAATAGAGAACACTTCCAAGCGTGCGTTGGGTTAGATGACAGAACCCACCAGTTTTGAAATAAGCGCGTCACCCTTCCCCCCTCCCGCCCCCGATCACATGAATTGGCCTGGCTAACTCCACCGATGCGACTGCAGCAGCCGACCTGGGATTGTTTATCCCAGTGACGTTGTTGACCCGGATTGGCTGAGCTACTGCGAGGGTTTCGTGTGCAGCCCGCCTTCCGTGAGGAAAAGGGAGTTCGTCGGTTAGGTTGAACTTGGGGCATGTCGAGGGGGTGTCTGAGACTTTACACGTGGCCTTTGGAGGGAGAGAGGCGAAGGAACAGGGAGTCCAGAAAGACGGCCAAGAGTGGCTGCAGGTTCAGACATGAGCTGAAAAAACAGATTAGCGGGGAGAGCAAATTAGAGCTTTGATAAAATAATTATATTGCTTAAAAAGATTAGGGAGGTATGTTGCAGCTTGAAGGAGGAGTACTAGGCAGAATAACAGAGAGATGGCAAGGACATATGAGACGAAACTGGGGCCTGGGAAACACTAGAGACATAACAGCTGAGAAATATATAGCTGGGTACATAGATGGAAAACAAGCTAGTTTGGAAAATTAAGACACAATGTTAATAGGTTAGATAGGTGTATTTTACCTATTGCAATTTTTGCTGTTATTGCAGCATTGTTCACAGGGCAGCGGTAAACACGATGTGCAGTTGTAGCTGGATTTGGCATATTAATTTGAAATGACTAGCCAGTTTTTTGGCTGCAGGTTCTTAATTCTGCCAAGCACATCATTGGATTATGTATGAGCTGGGTTGGGTTACTCAGATGTACAAACTGATCCTCATATATGAATTAGTAATACAAGTATTATCATATGTAGAAATTAGCATCTGTTGATCTTACTTAAAGCAAGAGGTTATTCAGGTATGTCAAACATTTACACTGAGGATTATTCTACCTATCCCTTGAAGATGCACTAAAACTGGAAATCTATGTGCTTTCTGGAAAAAGCGTATTGAGAGATGGAGAGGGTAGCATAGAAATATTTACATTTTATTTGTGTCTGACAGTCTCCTTTAGGTACTGCTCTTGAGTAAGGTTAAGCTGGCAGTAGTTGAGATACAGGTAGTCCTTGAGTTATGACGGTAATTGGGACAGGAATTTTTGTTGCTAAGCAATGCGGTCATTAGACAAAACATCACATGACAGCATTGCTTAGTGATGGCAATCCCAGCACTCCCCGTTGCCATCGTTAACCGAATCCCTCTAGTCATTAGGTGAGGACCCACCTGATCCAAGCCATTCCCAGCTTGGTGTCTCCTAGCCCTGAGCCTCAGTAAGGTAAGGGACTGCCTCTGCCTCCTCTTGAACTCCCCCCACCTATCTCCTCCCCCATCTCTGCCCTTTTGGTCACTCTGCAGTGGCACTCCTCAGCGATGGTGCTAGGGCTGAAGGGGAGGTCTGGGGCCTTCAGGAGTCTCACCTGGCTGCCACCGCCCCCAGGCCTCAAGTATATGAGGCAGCTGCTGGCCATGCCAGGCCTTCTTCCTGAGGAAAGCGTCTGAGGCTTTCCAAAGCATTGCAAGAATAGTGTGCCTGCCATTCTCCAAATAGCGCACCCTATTCTCACGATGCTTCAGAAGGCTTCTGAGGCCTTCCAAAGCATCACAAGAACAGGGCACGCTATTTGGAGAATGATGCAAGCAGCCTTGGGAAGAAGGCCTGGCATGGCCAGCAGCTTCCTCCATAGGGCCAGGCCAGGCGTGCCTTGTCAGCAGCAGGAGGAAGATGGCTAAGGTCAGCTAGGCGCAGCAGGGCCTGTGGAGCGCAGGGCAGCAGGGGTTTGGACTGTGGTGGCTGGCCATGGCCTGGGGCTTGAGGTGGGACTCCTCAGTGGTGCTGGGGCTGAAGTAGAGGCCTGAGGGCAATGGCAGCTGGCTGAGACTGCTGAAGGCCCTGAGCCTCTACTTCAGCCCCAGTGCTGACACTGAGGAGTGCTGCTGTGCAGAGTGGCCAAAAGGGTCAGAGATGGGGGAGATAGGTAGGTGGGGCGAGTTGAAGCACCCCTGCAGTCATAAGTGTGGGTGGGCTGCCAAATTTTGATCATGTGACTGCAACAGCTGTAACTTTGGGGACCGCACATAAGTACTATTCATTCAGCGGCATCATAACTTTGAACAATTGCTGAACAAATGGTTGTAACTCAAGGACTACCTGTAGATCTTTCCTGGTGCAGTACCACAGCTGGTGTTTCCTCCTTGTGGAAATATACCAAGCTAATTTCCACTTTCAAGAAGTTGCTGAAAAAGTTTAAAGTTTTCAGTCTCCCAGTTATTGCTCTCTCATTTTAATTTTTATACTAATTTCAAATTGTCTGCTTATATTTTATTTATTACATATGTTAACATTGCTGCTGGGGGCTGTGTGTTTTACTTTAAAACTGGAATATAAATAATATGAACATAATTTAAATAAACAAAAGTCCAGGTTGCTGTTCTATCTATACACACCAGTCCAATTTAATTAACTGAGGCTTTCTTCTAGATACTAAACATATAGTATTTTACTGAAAACAAGCAGGCCTTGAAGGAATATGAGGGTTTCTTGTTGGCACATTGCTTGACGCTATTTATATTATTTAATCATGAGTTTGGATCTGGAATTAGTAAATTATATTTATATAATTATTCCTAATAGTGGAATTTTTAGTAACAATGTCTGATCATTCATTAGGTTAATATACACTATTCAATGATATATAACATAATTCCAGTAATATATAAGAAATATATTATACAATTTTTATCAGTTGAATAGCCACTTAAAATACAAATAAGTCTCAGTCTTTTGTATTTAATAAATTATTTTATCATCTCTCCTATGAACCAAAATAGCAGTTCAACTTTATTCATATACCAACCATTCTACTGTCTAGCTTCCAGTCTACAAAATGGTGAATTTTACATAGTATAGCTGTATAGAGAAGGGAGGACACACAGCTGGGACACCTGAGTATTCTGGAATGTAGAATGAATAGCACTGGCTTGATCCACTTAGATTTGCCCCCATTTGTCTCTGGGGAGACGATAATATAGGCCAGCTGCACAACACAGCATGGCACAGAGGCAGAGAAGGAAAGCACTGGTCATGAGGAGGCGCTGGCTGCAGAGGGTACGATCCGCCTGAGAGTAGAAGTAATGATAGTGAATAATTTTTCCCTTGTGATCATCCATTGTGGAGCAAACTGGTCTCAATACCCAGATACTGCCCATACCACCACTGCCCACACCTATCTTACCTGATCTAGCATGCTGGATAGGGCAGGATTAGTTTGATAACGTGATTGATAGCAAATCCCTGACATTTCCAAATTCATGCGCTGTTTCCCTGTTACACATTTTGGTGGCTTTCTGGGAACAAAATGGAATATTACATTAATGAGTTAAGAAATGTTTGCAACAGTGCCCCTTCCTATTAGCTCACCTGGTCTTGGGGAGAAGGGATGAAGGTGCAATGATGTTAAGGCAGTTCTCACGGGATAATGAATTTGTGATAACAGCCAAGAGATGAATTGATTTCTGGGCATCTGGACCTGTGGATGGAGTTAGTGGAAGGAAATGTCAAGAGAAGATGAGCAAGGAATCAAAATTCTTGAGATATTTGAGAGAATATTGAAATAGATTTGGTGGGGGGAAAATCACTCACCTCTGAGACCCAATTTTGTCCCACTGATGGTCAGACCTAAATGTGTACCATTGGGAAGATCTGTGCCATTGTGGAGATCAAAAGTCAAGCCAACCATGATAGATACTGATGTCGGGGATTCAGCAGTTGTCATGGAAGGAGGTGATGTGACATTTTCCTGAGTCTTATTTGGGATACAGAACTTTAAATGTGCCAGAGACTTCAGCAGAGAGTCCCAGTCCTTAGATATAAGGGAAAAAGGAATGAGAATTGCTTCTATTCCCATTTTTTGCTTCTTCCTTTAAAATATCTATCCAACTCCATATGGCCTCACCTTTAAAATCCTATTCGTTAATTGTTATTCAGAACAGAGGCCACAAACAGTACACAATACAATGAGGGAGTTTCTGGATTTCTGAATTGGAGATAACATAGCAAAACCTAAGCCCTAAGGGTGAGGGTAAGAAGGATGTAGTATCATCTTAGCTCTAGAAGAAACAAACATTTCCTGGAGAAACTACTAGAACAGCCAGAAGAAAATGGAAAAGAGACTGGTAACATGAACCCTTTGAGTTTTGTATGGTACTATATTTCAGCTTTTCTAATTTCAAAAATCAAAGCAAAAATTAAATAGCATTATTGAATTAATTTTTTTCTTTCTCTGCTCCAAGTGCTAGAACATTCAGCATTATATTTTCAAGGACACCTTCCTTTGAAAAAAAACTATTTTAATTTTTTTTAATTGTAACTTATGTATAAGTTAGAAGACAATTATAGGAAAATAGAACTGTGGCCAATCAGCCTGAATACATCAGTACAATGACCCGTCCATTAGAGAGAATCAACCTAAACATCTGGAAAACAGCAAGGGAAAAATAATGTATCCATACTGCATTTTCCTTCATGCCTCTTAAAGATTTCTCCTGCTTTTTTCTCTTAACAATTGAAATCCAATTTCATCCCATGCGCTGGCCTAAATTTTTACTTAAAATTCTAATCTCTAGCTCACCTCTTTGACATCAGGATTATGAATATCATGTGACTGGATGTAGGCAGCAAAACCAACAAAGGCAACAGCCAACGAAAGGAGGCAGAAGAAGAAGGAGACCAGAGGTGGATGTCGTTCCAGGCAGATACGCAGGGAGGCCAGTAGAGAGCAGATGACCATGGTAAGCCCTAGGGGTGAGGGTAAGAAGGATGTAGTATCATCCTAGCTCTAGAAGAAACTAAAACATTTCCTGGAGAGACTACTAAAGCAGCCAGAAAAAAATGGAAAAAAGACTGGTAACGTGAACCCTTTTTGTATGGTACCGTATTTCAGCTTTTCTAATTTAAAGAATCAAAGAAAAATGTGAATGGAAATAATAAATATATTCATTTAATCTCATTATTGCTTAGATAATTTAAACTGGTGAAAATCTTTCATGGGACTATATACTCAAAGAATGCAAAGGGAGGCTACTTGTTTAAGATCATACTTCCATTGTGATTGCCATGAAATAGGAAGCTGATTTTTTTGTCTGTGCATTCAGATATGGGTATGCTTAAAAAAAAGATTCCTAATCTGTATTCTGGAATTATATAATCAAAGAAAAAGGTTGTACATTACTGCCCACTGATTTTTAAATTATGTCTAATTCTCTCTATTTGAAGACATGTCTACTTAAGTTAAAAATAGCCAGCTTCTTCACCATGCCAACTGGCTAAATAAATCTGCTTGTAACAGAATTTGTAATTTAACTTGACATAATTTTGTGATACTTTCATATTAAAGACAGTGTTTGATTATCTTATGTTGTATTTGAAGTTAGCAGATTACAACACCACAGAATTGGAAAGAAACAGCTGGAATTGTGGAGGTAGAGAACTGGATATTCTATCTGATACTATAATTTCATCAAAGCCGTGTCCTGTCTTAGAACACGAGGATGCAAAACCTCATATCTGAACATTCACCACAAGAAATGTTTTACAAGACTGGTAGTAGCACATAGCATAGGAAATTAAGCATCATCTTCTCAGTCATCTATCATAGGGTTAGCAGTAAACAGACAGGAAAGGGTTAACTTCACATCTTCTACCTAGGAAGCAGGCCTTACGACTTCTTGTCCTGAGGAGGAAACCTCTCATTTCAATCTTTAGCTCTGCCTGTTAGAAGAAGCAATGTCTTTTATCTTGGCTCCATTTTATGGGCTGCTAGCAAACAAGTAAAGGATCACTGCACAGAAAACAGGCCATAGCTGAGAGACTACTTGACAGCTTAGGATTGGAGACCACCAGCCCCCTCAAGTAGAAATGGGGAATAACAGCTTCCAGAAGCACTGGATCAGAGTAGAGGAGGCAAATGGCAGGGCTGGCACTGAGCCTTTTACAATGCAGCCAAAGCTCTTCTTGTTGGTCCTCTGGCAGCCTCTCTGTTCTGATGGACTAGGCTCCAGGTGATGTCAGCTGCAGCAACCTTCCAGTAGTCTGAACAAACACCAGGTGATGCCGATAGCACTGTCCCTCCAGTAGCTAAGCCAGCACTAGGTAGCACCAACAATGGCAACCTTCCGATGACCAGGAATGTTACAGAGGCTAAAAAAATCTTCTGCACAACATTCAAGCCCTTCAGGCTACAGCAAGGAGCAGGCCTTAGAGATTCCCCTTCTCTCCATTGTTAGAATGTTAACAGAACTGGGAGCACCAAACTAGACTGGTGGAATTTTCTGAGCATGGGAACCAAAATGGATACTTCCAAAATATTGCAGAACAAAAACAAATGAACATTGTGGTATTAAATAAACAATTAACATCATCCCCATTAAACCAAGACTCAGAAAGAAGATTGATGGCAATAGGAAGGCTCCACTATAACATACTCAATGATAAATGAGGGTTAAGGTATACATATCTACTTTCTTAGATGCTGTAACATAATTTCCTTTTTTTTTTTTGTAATAAAGCTGCATACTCTGAGTTGGTGAGAATCTTGCTTTCTTGGCTGTGAACTGCTCTAAGGAGCTTAACATGTATATGTTGGAGGATGTAGCCATGAGCTGGCCTGGGCAGGCCCAGCAATGGTAGCTTAGGATCCCGAGGAAAAATAGGCTCCTGCTGGGTCCAGTCTACCCATACAGAATATGGGAGCTCAAGCCCTGCTCAACCTTAAGTGGAAGTCCCCAGAGCTGAATTATATGAAATACTGAATCAGCTCAGGGGAAAAGAAGCCATTCCAGAGCAAGTGGGAAGAGAGAAGACCAGTCATCCTTACCCCCAGAAGCTCATTTAGCAAATCCTACTCTTCTCCAACTTCCGCTTACTCAAAATCCTTTTTGTGCCTATGTGAAAATGAAAAAAGAAAAAAAAACAAGACACCTTAAAAGACACGAGCAAAAGAGATGCAGAAAGCAAATAGACACGGTATACAGTGCATTTGGAAAGTATTCAGACCCCCTTCACTTTT